GTTCAAATCTTTACTTTTCGATATATGACGTTTTTTGTGATTTTTTCAAAAATTTTCAGAAAACTTAAATTATTATTATTTTTGTAAAATCTGAAATTCCCAACCCTGTAGTTGGGTACTTTCAGAGTACTATCAAGGATCGCGAATCTTGCCTCTTAATATGAATGCTCAAATCCTTTTAGTTTCCGAGATAAGACGTTTTTTTTCAATTTTTTTTTCGGGAATCTTATGTTTAAAAAAATTCATAAATTTTTTGGATTCCTAACCCTTTAGTAGGGCGCTCTCAGGGACTCTCAGTGGTTGCAAATCTGGCTTCCAAATTTATCCAGAGGCTCATTAAGTTTTCGAGATGAAGCTTTTAAAATGGGAATTAAAAAAAAGTTAAAAAGTTCGAAATTACCAACCCTGTAATTGGGTGCAGTCAGAGTACACTAAAAGTTTGCAGATGTTGTTTGCAATATATGCGGTTTTTTTCATGAGTTGTCGAAAAATTTCGAAGCACCGAAGGTGCGTTAATTGCTAGTTTTAGTTAACTTAGATTTTAAAATATCCTAGTTTATTATTAAGCGCAGCGTGTGTCTGCTTAACTTTGGCCGTTAAGATTCCACCTGAATCTTTTCAAAGGAAAGTATTATTATAACGAGAAAATTATTTTAGTTGTTTTCCTCAATTTTTTCGGTGTTCAGTGGTTGTGGTAATTAACGCACCTTCGGTGCTTCGAAATTTTTCGACAACTCATGAAAAAAACCGCATATATTGCAAACAACATCTGCAAACTTTTAGTGTACTCTGACTGCACCCAATTACAGGGTTGGTAATTTCGAACTTGTAAACTTTTTTTAATTCCCATTTTAAAAGCGTCATCTCGAAAACTTAATGAGCCTCTGGATAAATTTGGAAGCCAGATTTGCAACCACTGAGAGTCCCTGAGAGCGCCCTACTAAAGGGTTAGGAATCCAAAAAATTTATGAATTTTTTTAAACATAAGATTCCCGAAAAAAAAAAATTGAAAAAAACGTCTTATCTCGGAAACTAAAAGGATTTGAGCATTCATATTAAGAGGCAAGGTTTGAGACGCCTGGGTGTACGCTGACAAAAAGGTTGTATCTTCGTAGTTGTCAAATTTTTCTCTGCTACTGTTTTTGGCTAAAATTATGTTGGTTTTATTAGTAACTTATTTTCTCTCAAATGTCGTTTTTTAAGCGATATAGGTATCAATTATCAACTCATTTTTTTCGTTTACCTGTGATCTGGAAGTAACGTTTACGATTTGGTTTCGTTTTTTTCCATACAATTTTGATTAATGCCATTTACGGTTTGTTTTTTATCGCTGTTTTTCTACGGCTGTAAGTGGTTTAATTATCAGTTTGTTGTTTAAAGACTTTTATGTTTTGAAAACATCAAATTTAGGGAAAACAGGCATAATTTTGTAGTAGCGAAAAAAAGCTCAAATCTACCGCAATTTCTCGGATGTTTTTTCAATCAGTCTTTTCTACTCATTTTTGACTGACTGCTTAATGAAAAAATTTGTCAACTGCTTTGAATGTCAACTGTTTTTCATTTTTATCTGCGTTTTATTTGCTAATTTTGGATCAATCTCCTAATTTTTTTGGAATTATCATTTGTTTTATTCTTAAAACTTCTTCATTTTAAATCAATTTCAATTGAAGCAACTGATTCTGTACTTTTGCCATGATCTAAAGTTCATGCTGCTTATGATCTTCACATTTTGCTAGCCGAAGTTTTCTCCTGTGAAACATTATTTTTTTCGTGCTATTGTATTTCTGATTATTTTTGTTCCAGAATTGTTACTAGCTCAGATTGAATCGTGTCATTCTGGCAGGTTATCGTCTTCCAAGATGTTCTTTTCTTGAAGATTGTTTTGTATATTTGGAGGTTTTTCTAGAAATTTTTTTCTCAATCACGTAACCACTGCAACCAGATTTGCAACCACTGAGAGTCCCTGAGAGCACCCTACTATAGGGTTAGGAATCCAAAAAATTTATGAATTTTTTTAAATAGTTGGGTCGTGTTGTGTCAAACTTTCTGAGCTTATGATTTTTATCAATCTATCTATCTATACATTATTTATTGGCGTTTTACTTGACACATTTTTTAAAAGTCATTATGTTGACATATTTGTTAAAATGCCTATATTTTGCAACGTTTACTATTTATTTTTGAATTCAACGTTTAAATTTTCCAAAATCATCTTTTGTTTAACTTTACATCTGTTGTAGTGTGAAAGCTTTAGCTGTAGTTTTTTTCTTAATTGGCATTGCAAAATTTTCAAGCTTTTCAGTTCAGTGTTTATTTGACAAAATTGAGATTATCAGCCGTAGTATGGTGTTCTATCTGGGTACACTCAGGGATCTTTTATAGATCTTGAAATTCCCAGCCTTAAGTAGGCTGATCTCAGGGTTAACAATGGAGTTGCAATTCTGTCCTCCAAATATGAACTGATTACTCAAATCTTTTCGGTGCTCGAGATATGGGTTTTATCTGATTTTTTAAAACTTTCCAAGAAATTTAATCTAAAAAAAACTTAACTAACTTAGATTTAAAAAAAAACAGAACTTGGAACTCTCAACCTGAAGGTGGGCTGCCCCCAGGATACAATATGGGGTTGCAATTCTGCCCTCTAAATTTAATTGCTCGAATCCATTTGATTTTTGAGATATTGCGTTTTTCATTAGTTTTTGAATTTTTTTCAAAGAACAGATCTAAAAATTACTAAACTTGCAAATATCAATCTTATTGTGGGGTGCCATCAGAGTACACTCAGAAATTCAGAAAGTTTTAATGGATTTTTCCAAAGTATGGGTTATATATTGATTGAAACGAGTGCTTTTAGGGTCCTCAACGAAATGGCTGTGGGAAGATAACACGGGCTTCAACGGAAGTTCAGGATCAGGGTAAGTTTTCTTCCACTATTGTTCGAACTTTTCTATCTCAATCAATGAAGTGGTGTTTATGATCCTTTTGCCCTGTGGATTTTTATTTACTCTCAATGAGTTTTTATTCCTTTTTCTAGAATAAGCTTTGTATTAAAAAGAGTTAAAGCCGTCAATTTTTTTTCCATGATCAGAATCAGTGGACTGTCGATAGCCTGATTTAGAACCATTTTAAGTAAATACACTCATACCACTCGACCATCACTCCAAACCCTCGGGCTCAACTTAGCCCCTTCCACAAAAACGCCCTGTGTGCCAAAAGCTCTTGCAGGATCTAACGGAGGCCAAAGTTTGACAGGTTGAATCAGATGAATGTGGATGCCACATTGTTTTTTGCAAAAACTTTATGCGAATACTTCCCATTACCAGGCTGCTAAGGTGAAGTTGCAACGGATTTACGGCAACGGCAAAATATTCCGTACGATTTTAATGAGAAAATCGGAAACTGTGGCACTCAACTTGCGTAATTGGACGTACGGTTTTAGCCAAGGTTAATCAGGAGGGGTCTCCGGCCAGATCCGTCTTCTTCGTAGATCCGAAAACATGAATAATTAGCTGTTTGCCGAGATAGAATGTTCTACGTTATCGATAAAAGACAGTTTGTGTGATGTCACCTTAGATGATGACGAAGTTTAGGTCTAGTTTTTAATAGTTTCTTTCTCAGTCTTATAAATGGCACAACACTTCAAAACGTTTTCGGTTTTATCATGTATCCTATTTTTACAAATAACTAATTATTAGTATTCATCTTTAGCTTAAAGGCGCTAAGCTAAGCTGAGTGTTACAGAAATTGAGGGACTGGCTAGGAGCGTTAATTTTGACAAATTCGGTAAACCAAGTTGGCAGCAGCCTTTTTCGAACTCATTTTGAGTCATAATCAATTTGAGGTTCACCAAAAACCTGATGGGGTCAAGTGTGTTATCATATTAAAACCTTTTTGGTCTAGATTTAGATTCCAAAGAATTTTTCACAAATTTCTGTTCGAGTTCGAAAATACTGGTCTGATTGTTTTGCTATGAAGACCAATTTATCTTTTGAAGTCACCCCGCTTGAGAAATTCATAACTAGTAAGGGCCTTGTGCCTAGCGTTGGTCCAAGTCGGACAAAAGCTTATTGATAATAAAAATTGAATTGCTGTAAATGTCATTGATAATGTCCGCTGGAGTTTTTAATCTATTATTTATTTAAATGCGGGCTTCACTATGTCGCCATGTTTAAGCTTTTTCAACGTATTACTTTTGCATGTTTAAGCTATATCGTATATTGCAATGGTTAAGATTTTTTTTTTCGATTTTCCAATTTGATTTTAGTGGTTATTTTACCGAGTTTAAATTCAGCAGCCCAATGTCGAATTAGGGGTTGCGAATTTGGCCTCCATTTTTGAATGCCCGAATCATTTTAGTTAACGAGATAAGACGATTTTTGAGATTTTTTCAAAAAATTTCAGAAATTTCAAATAACAAAAAATTTTACAAAACTTGTAGTTCCCAACCCTGTAGTTGGGTGCTGTCAGAGTACTCTAAGGAGTTACAAATCTTGCCTCCAAATATGACTGTTCAAATCTTTAGTTTTCGAGATGTGACGTTTTTTGTGATTTTTTCAAAAATTTTCAGAAAACTTAAATTATTATTATTTTTTTTTTAATCTGAAATTCCCAACCCTGTAGTTGGGTACTGTCAGAGTACTATCAAGGATCGCGAATCTTGCCTCCAAATATAACTGCTCAAATCCTTTTAGTTTTCGAGATATGATGTTTTTTTGTGATTTTTTCAAAAAATTTCCGAAAATTTCAATTAATTATTTCTCAAAATTTGAATATCCCAATCTTGTAGTTGGGTGCTGTCAGAGTACTCTAAGGAGTTACAAATCTCGCCTCCAAATATGAGTGTTCAAATCCTTGTAGTTTTCGAGATAAGACGATTTTTGAGATTTTTTCAAAAATTTCAAATAACGAAAAGTTTACAAAACATGTAGTTCCCAACCCTGTAGTTGGGTGCTGTCAGAGTACTCTAAGGAGTTACAAATCTTGCCTCCAAATATGACTGTTCAAATCTTTACTTTTCGATATATGACGTTTTTTGTGATTTTTTCAAAAATTTTCAGAAAACTTAAATTATTATTATTTTTGTAAAATCTGAAATTCCCAACCCTGTAGTTGGGTACTTTCAGAGTACTATCAAGGATCGCGAATCTTGCCTCCAAATATGACTGTTCAAATCCTCGTAGTTTTCGAGATATGAAGTTTTTTGTGATTTTTTCAAAAATTTCAGAAAATTTTAATTAATTATTTCTCTTTTTTTGAAAATCCCAACCTTGTAGTTGGGTGCTGTCAGAGTACTCTAAGGAGTTACAAATCTCGCCTCCAAATATGAGTGTTCAAATCCTTGTAGTTTTCGAGATATGACGTTTTTTGTGATTTTTCAAAAAAATTTCAGAAAACTTATATTAATTTTTTTTGCAAAATCAGAAATTCCCAACCCTGTAGTTGGGTCCTGTCAGAGTACTCTCAAAGATTGCGAATCTTGCCTCCCAGTATGACTGCTCAATTCTTTGTAGTTTTTGAGATATGACGTTTTTTGTGATTTTTTCAAAAATTTTCAGACAGTTTAAATTAATTATTCTTTCAAAATTTGAAATTCCCAACGCTATAGTTCGGTGTTATCGGGGTACTCTAAAGGGTGCAAATCTTGGCACATGCGACTGCTAAACGCGACTGCTCAAATGCTTTTAGTTTCCGAGATGTGACGTTTTTTGATTTTTTCAAAATTGCTCAAATTATCTACAAAGAAATTCAAAAAATTTGAAACTACTAACTTGATGAAGATACAACCTTATTGTCAGCGTATACCCAGTCGTTTCAAAGCTTGCCTATTAATATGAATGCTCAAATCTTTTTAGTTTTCGAAATAAGACGTTTTTTTTTTTTAATTTTTTTTTTCGGGAAACTTAGGTTTAAAAAATTTCACAAAATTTTGGATTCCTAACCCTATAGTAGGGTGCTCTCTGTGGTTGCAAATCTGGCCTCCAAATTTCTCCAGAGGCCTATTAAGTTTTCGAGATGACGCTTTTTAAATGGGAATTTAAAATAATTTAAAAGTTCGAAATTACCAACCCTGTAATTGGGTGCAGTCAGAGTACACTAAAAGTTTGCATATGTTGTTTCCAATATATGCGGTTTTTCTTGTTGTCGAAACATTTCGAAGCACCGAAGGTGCGTTAAACGCTAGTTTAATTTAATTCCCCAATTTGATTTTATTACTGCTTCATCAATATTTTGTGTAGTTATAAGTTTGTCGTGAAGCTAATTTTCAATCCATTTCACCGATAAAATTGACAAAAATGTTTTCAGTTTTATGAGTTTTTTGAACTGATTGTTGTTGGAACATTCTGTGCTAATTTCCCTGCAAAAATATCTTTTCGAAGTAGTTTTTTAATTAAAGGGTATTGTGTTTCAGAAGCAGAGGAAACTGCACATCGCTAATGTGAATATGCGAAATGTGGATAGAAAGAGTCATGCGTGCATGCTAAAGAGCTGTGCTCTTCTATGAAACTTATTTAGTTTTCGACTAGTGTATACGAAGAATAACTTCGCCTTTATTCACTGCGCCATATTTTTTTCATCTCCATTGTGCTCATTATTATTATAATTAGTCGATAGTTTGTTCTAACACTTAAGATGTTTTTTAGATAGAATAATTTTTTTAATTGTCATGCCAATCTACCGCTGGGTTTTATATTTTTCCATTTTAGCCTAATCACGTTACTATCTTCAGTTAAGTAACTAATCAACTAAATTTAGTTGAAATTTTAAATTAGAGCTTAAATTGAGCTTATATGCTAGCTTTGGGTTTATCCAATATAGGGTAGGTTGTCTCATCATTCTAAATTTGCATTGTTTTTATTCAGTTCTAAATTAGCCTGAAGGTTTTAAATTGCGGTAAAATTTGTACTTCGGGGCTAATATGCGGTTGCGCTCTATGCATGAGTTCACATCGCGTTTAGTTGTCTTCTGAATCTTTATGTAAAATTATTCTCACTTGCTATATATCAATCAGTTATTCAACTATAAACATAAAACGAAGCAGTTTTTTTGTTCTTAAACTGTTTCTGTTCTGAATGTTTCCGTTTTTATAAAGAATATATGGGAAAACGTGTGCTGCATTTTTTTAAAACCCAGTCGAAATGCCACGTCATGCTCTTTATTAAATCACAGAATCAATAATTGGCTCAGTTCCTACAATGGTCAAACTCCTTTAAAATAAGCTTAAAGTTCGTTAGTGCTGATTACCCTTGCAATCGGGTACTAGAGTTTTTTCCCGTAAATAATTTTGTTCACTGGACTCCTGGTGGCACCTTGGCTCATGAATTAAAATTTCACAGTGTCTTTTGCACATTTAGGCTGTAGGTTACGAATACGCCTGTGATGGCAAAGGTCCTGGGTTCGAATCTGACTGGGACCTTTTTTTTTTAAACCGTAAATATTCCGGTTCAAAATTTTTTGGCCTATTTCTTGTCTGATTATGTTTTTTTCGGCTTAGTTGCCACATCTAAGAATAGTTTTTTTTGTAAACGATTTTCATTGTAATTGCTTTGTTTTCGCATTTCAAAAATCCGGTCGAATCGGTTTTAGTTTTTTTTTGGCATGAAAAGTTTCTGCTCAGGTATTTTTGGCTTTGTTACCGCTTGGTAATTCAAAATTCAATATCTATCAACCATCCGTCGCATCTGCAGTAGAGATAACACAATTGCTAGAGATCGCAAAGGGTTGCGATTGGAATCCGACCGGGAACTGTTTTTTTTGCAAACTATAGAGTTTAAGTGCGTTTTCGGGCTATCGTCTGTCAGTTTATTTTTGTCGGCTTAGTTCCCGTAGCCCGACTTTTTCGAAGGTTCAGCTTTGCTCCAGGTTGCTGTAGCCCCCATGCTTGAGGTGACAAAGCTCAGGAGTTCGATTGCAGTCGAGGCCTGTTTTTTTTGCAAGTTGAAATTTTTCGGCTAATTTAGATCATTGTCGGTCTGCTTATTTTAGTCGGCTTAGTTCCGTGAAAATCCAATAATTTTGTCGGCTTAGTTCCGTAGTTTCATTTTTTGAAAATTCAGTTTCTTTCTAGCATTTTGAAAGCTCTTTGTACAGTTTTTAGTAATGCAGGCACCATTTTTCCGGATAGTTTGGGCTTTTGTCGCAATTTTTATTGACATTGATTTTTTGCAGTTTTTCTCTGTTGATTTCAATCATAGTCATTTATATTTGTATCGCAAGTGCTGGGAATCTCATCTTCGCCTCTGTGTAAGATACTTTTTTCTGCGTTTGCGACTAGCAAGCGTTATCAAATCGGAATATAGACGGTTTTCGGGTTAACAACTAATTCAATGAAATCAGTTGAATCAGATAGCATGACCATTCTGGTAGCAGCAGAACAGAATGTCAGACAAAGACATTTCTCGAGTATGCTTGAATTTTAACTGACCGTTTCATTCGAGTTTTCGTTGTTGATTGCAAAACAACTCTTATTTTTAGTTTCCGCTTTCTTTTTCGTTTTTTTTTGGCTCAAATGGTTTCATTTGATGTTATATCTGTTTCGTTGCCTCATAATTTGTCTTTTGATCCAAATTTTTTAAGCAATTGTTTAAATTTAATTTGTTCCAAGTTTTGTTATTTCACTTGTGCCACCTGAGGGGTGCTAAACTTGAGACCTCAAGTTTTTTTTGGCTCAACAGTAGTCTAACCAAGTATCGTCTGCTCAGTTTCCGCTTGGATAAGTTTGTTTCTTGATGCATTTTGAAAACTGGCAGTTGTTTTTCTAAGTATCTTTCCTCAAACTCAACCGCATTCCAATTTTTTGTACTCAGTTTTTTTTTACTCTACCTTCATTTTTTTTAACTCAGGCTTTTGCCCTATTTTTGGACTAGCTGCTGTGCTTTTGCAGCTCCGCTTCGCCTCTGTGTTCGAATTATTTGCTTTCACCCAATGAAAAAGAATTCGCTCCAATTTTGCAGTTTAGAAATGTGTCTTAAGAGTATTCCATGCAAGGGATTTCGGTGATATGTTTCAATAGGTAGTAATTTAGAGTATAGTGCATGTATTTAATTTGAGAACCATTATACATAATATAGTCATTTCATTTTCAATCAATTGTACATGCTACTAAGATAGTTTTTGTCAATACAGTACTCTGTCAGATTTTCAAAATTCAAATTTTACACTTATGCCAAAATGAGGCTTTTGAAATAAATAATGACGGAAATAAATAATGCATTAGCAAAAACTTTTCGATATCAAAAAAATCATCGATTTTGATTGCCAGCTTTTTTATCTATGGAATTCCAGCTTTAATTACTGTAGTTTAACATTGGACCGAGTAAGGTAAAATTATTGCTCCACAAAAGTGAATCTGGAAATCAGTTAATGCAATTGTTTTGAATTCCAGCTTTAAAATTGCATTAAGCCACAAATATAACTAATGCACTAAAAAAATGTCTAAATAACAGAAAAAGCATTGACTTTGAGTACCAGCGTTAACAATGCATTGAAAAATAGCTATATTTACTGCGCTACAAAAGTGAGTCTTTTAATCAGAAATCGGATCAAGATAACTAAATTATACTTCTTAGCTTTATAGTTCTTAGCTCCAATATAGTTCTTAGCTTTTTATGCAATCCAGACGAGAGCATTTGAATCACTTTCCCCTTGAAAGGTCTCAATGTTATCGGATCAATAATAATCTGATTTTGGCATGTTTTACGACGTTTCATGAGTTACTGCTAACTGTATAAATCTTGCTACAATTGATGGATTACAGCAGACTGCTCTGTGTCTTCACCTACAATTGTTATTAGTGAAAAAACTTAGAATTAAATAAAAACCTTCAATAACTGTCAAATTTTTTCATGACATGTATGGTCCGGTTTCACGTTTCATGATGTTTTCTGTCTATGTCTAGTACATATGTGCATCTTGATACAATTGATGTGCTAGAAGAGGTTATGCTGGAGTTTTTTTGAACACTGTAAAATAGCGCCAAAAAAACTGACAAAATAAGGTATCAAAAAATGTGCAACTTTTGAGTTCTTCATTCTTATAGTTTTTTTAACAGTAATTATTATAGGTTAAGACTCAGCGTAGTCTCGTTTAACCTAACAGTTGTGGCAGGAAGTAAATTTTGTTGTAGAAACAGTTTTGAAACATGAAACTGGTAGCTTAGGAGATATGGAAGATTTTACTATTTAAAAAAATTCAAAAACTTAGAAAAAAATCTAATTTTAAATTTATGTTTTTCTTTTCTTTTTTACGTGAAAGAAGCATGCATAGCTAGGGTAGGCGTTTGCGGGCCATATGGCCCCGTTGTCTATCCTCTCCGAGTCTCATTTTAATAATTACTTATAACGATGAATTGCCAAATTTATGTAATGAATGACCGGAGAAATTTATTCTTTCTTTCTTTCTTTTATGAAGGAACCTGACAAAATAAAGTGTAATTTAAAAAATGACTTTTTTGAGACTTTCATTCATTTTTAAATATTTTTTTTTCTTAGAACAATCTAATTTAAGATTCAGGGCGGTCTCGTAGGATCCATAAATGGTAGCAAAAAGTACATAACTAACAGGAACATTCATGGAATCTCCATTCTGCGTTTGTCCTTTCAGTTGAATCCATATTTTTGAGGTCGAAACTCAAGCCTCAAATTGAAACCAAAAAATATTTTCTTAACATATTGCGGTATCAGGGTAACCATAACAACCTAAGAGGCGCCTACATGAACAAAAATTGAAATATTGGGTTTGAGGAATATCATTTTTTAGCATAAAAGTGCACAACCCCAAAGTTTCGGTTTTGCTCAGATCCAAATTTCTCAAAATCTTGTAATTGAAAATGATCAAATGAAAGGTCGTTAGAAACTTTGTTTCAAATGCTTGGCTATCTTTAAATTCAGTAAGGAGTTGGTTTTGACCACAATAGCTAATCCTGGGATATTTCCTATACCTAATTTTTCTTGTCAATAAGTGACTTTTTCCGGGCAAAAAGTGATCATATCTTCTTTGCCATAACAACTGTCGAATAAAAAAAAACCTCAGATAGGCCTAAATTTTGTTTTTATTCAATAACTTTTTTCTGAACTTAGCTTATGCTAAAGCATGCTACTCCTGATCGGGTTGTCAGAGTTACTACACATCACTGCAGAATTTTTTAGACCGGGTTGTACGCATCTACCCAAGAAACGCTCAACCGTACCCTTCTTTCTCGAATCCTTTTTCGGATGAGAATTGACTTTTTTTTCCAGCCAGCCAGGTTGAAATCACGAAATTTGAAACAATCAATGGACTGGATTTGGTGTTGCCTCGTTCGAAAGATACTGAGCAGGGTATTCCAAAACACCCCCACAACACGCCAAAGCTAAATTTTAAGATCAATTTTTGAGTTGCTGCAAGTATTGCAAAATGTGACTTTTGCCCGGCCCTAACTTTTCCCATGTTTTTCTTCGAAGTTTTTTGCAGTAGGGTTTTTATCGTCCCGAAGCATAAATATGAAGTTTCAGAGCTGTACGAGGCCGAGAAACATTTTGAACAGGTACCCCGAATTCGGTTGAGCCATCCGTCAAAATGTGGCTTGTGCCGGATCAGGGCACCGCCCAGCATAACTGTATAATACAGTGTATATCAACTTCATAACTAGTCTGTCAACTTTATAACAGGAAACCTCGCTTCACTTGCAAAAATTGAAATT